GAATTTATAAGGTCAAAAAGTGAGGTTAACTTTAGTTGCTAACGAGTGTGCACTCAAAATTTCTCAATAACAAGTAGGAAAATCCCAAATCAATCATAGTTCCGAAAGCTTTCTAAGAGCAGACGACCACTTGCCAAACCTTTTTGAAAAATGAGAGGACAAACAAGAACTTTAACACAAAACATTGATCCTCGAAATCACGAATTCTCGTTTACAGGAGTGCGTAATGGCGAGAAGGATTAGCTTGATATGAGGGAATATTTTACAAAGTAAAGAGAAAAATTGGAGACGAAAATCCCAAAATGTGACAATAACCTCAAAAAATGAGTCAAAAACACCTCTCTGAGCTGTGAACAGAGTCACTATTCCTTTATTTTTTCTATAAACATTGTACGACTGAAACTGGTTATTGATTGCACTACAAATAGCCGTAGCAAAGGTTTACAATGAAATTCACTTTTTCATCTGTTAAATTCTACAACTTCACGTTTTCTTTGGCTGGCAATGTCGAACATTTTGATGAACGAGCATTGTTGTGGAAAAAACGATGTTAGTATTTTCGATTGATTGGAACTAGATGCAGCTGGTGGTGTTTCGTCATTACAACACATACACAGAGAGGTGTGATTGAAAGTGATTCGTCGGCTTGGAGAAATCTGGTTAAAAACAGTAGGATTTGGGAGTAGGAGATTGATGATGTGGAAGGGGATACATGGACTTGGGGATATGGAGATTCAAATAAGATTGGCTGTTGAGGGGCGAACGGGAAATGAGAGGAGAGCAGATAAAGGATGAAATGAGAAATTTTCAAGAAAAATTTGTAGAATACTCACCGGATCCTGTGAATTAGCCGCAGATGGATTGGTAAAACTCTGTGCGGGTCCAACACCAGAACCAGCCGTTTGCTGTTGAAAATACGCGGTAGGTGCGGATTGAGCCGTATGTGTGTCGTAGTAGAAAGCGCCGAGGCCATTCAGACCTTGCGCAGGCCCACCAGCAAACTCGGATGACGTCATAGGCGCACACTTAACAAATCGCAGCTCATTAAGCAGACTGTCGGCTAGCTTCACCGTGGGCGTGGCCATCGCGTGGTTTCCGCCGTCGTTGATT